TTGAATAAGTTATTCATAATCCAATGCAATTTTACCTATGTTTTTGCTTTTTCTTCTACAGGACCGCTCTTTAGGTGTTTTTGGTATTTCAGGTTGGCTTTGTTATTGACAACAATGACATCTGACAATTCGTTTGACGTTTCCGCTCGACAATATGACGCACCGTTTGCAACTAATTGTTTTTGCCTTTAAATGTTTTCTGTATGCCTTATAATAATAATAATAATAGTACATTTATTGGTATAACCATCAAAGTTACATAGAAATAACTACATAGTTAAATAAGTGAAATAATGGTCAACAATAGGCCTTGTTAGGGCAGCCATCTAGACGTTCTAGATACTGTTCAGACCTCAATTTAACAGCGAAAATATAATAATAAAAAATTTCATAGAATTTATTTGAAAGCGCCAAGCATAGATACACATAATTCTAAGGAAAAGAAAAGAGAAGAAATGGAGGGGGAAGGTAAGGAAAGGGGCACATGTTTTGTAGAAGAGCTTAATATTAGTGCGTACGTAACAATTGCCTTTTGAAATTATTCCTAAACGTTGAATTGGACTGATTAATATTAAAATTAGTAATAGAGTTAATGCAAATGGCTATATTATAGGAATATGACCTTTTAAATAATTCTTTGCGGTGACGGGGTATAACTAGTCGGTGTCTTCCACGCAGATTCAAGTTGTGTATTGATATGTTAAGAGTAATTTTTCTGTAAAGATAAAAAGGTAATTTTGTTTTAAGAATGTTGAAATGAAGAGAACCCATTCGTAATTTGCATCGAACGTGCATATTAAGCCAAAACGACGCAGCAAGGTTTTTGTTTTTAATATTTCGTGCTAGTTTGATTAGTTTGTCACCTTGCTGTCGAAGTAAATATTTTTAAATTTCAGAAAAAATTACATTTTCCCATTTAATAAACCCACACACACGTAATAACTCCAATCACCCTCAAACACACAAATCATTACTTGTGCTTTTTATTCTTTGATTCACAGACTACTTAATATATGATTGATATAATTCATTGTTATACTTACTTTATTTTACGTGGATGTTTATGAAAGAAATGAAAAACCTTCGCCAACTAAAGTTGTTTGTTATTAGGCAAAGAGTAAACTCTCCAAAGTCGAAAATAAAATTAAGTTTCTGATATTATAAGATTTCGGAGCAGAAGAAGAACTAGGCTCTGCTGAAGAAAGCTCATTTTTTTTACAGGAAGTTATAGACAACGGTTTGAACAACAATCCCGAACGTTAGCTTTTAATTTTGACGGAGTTAAGGTGCGTCTTGGCTTTTGTCAGCTGATGTTAAAATTTGCCAAGATTAATGATTTCTCTAGGAAAACGGATCCCGAGCTATGATCTGAAACTCGCAGTATCGATCGAAAAGCAGCGATATGACGTCACAAACATTCCCGCGAGTTGCAACTTAATTATCGGGTCTTGAGTTTTGATTTTTGGTATGCGTTATTTGTATACCTAAACAAACGTATCAAAAAAAAAATACAAAAGAATATACAAGTTAAGTAGACATTCCAAGAATTGGTTCCGATTTTTTTTTATAAAAATATTGATAAATTGATAGACGAATAATGTTTTAAAAAAGAAATAATCAAATTGATTATCTTTTTTTCTGAAAAATTAGTAAATACTTTTGTAAATAGTATTACCGACATAGTATTACTGATATGCAAAAAGCTTCAATGGTTTTTTATTCTGTTTTTGGGGTTAAATAAAATCGTTGAGAATGAACGTATATAAATTAGTATTTAGTATTCATTTAATATTCAACTTTTTGTTGGTATATATTTTTTTCTTCGAAATGAAAACAGGATAATAAAAACAAATACAATGTGGACAATGACTTATGGTAAAAAATTGAAATGTTGGTTACTTACGTAAGCGAATTTGAGCTACCTATGTAAAATATGCGGCGTTGCCAGATATACTTCTACGGTATATTAACTTTCGTTTTTTAAATTAAACACCCTGTATACTATTACATTTTTAGATTCTACGAAACATTCTGAACAATATCGGAGATGAAAAAACTTTTTAAGAAAATTGGCAGCGAAAGTAATTCTTTCACAGCTAAGCAACCTTGGAAGTTGTGACGTACATTAAAAAACGAAAACCTGCCCTTATTTACCGTTTAAAATTGGTTTTCGAACGGCCACCATTACTTGGTAACCAAAGGGTTGTATAATAAAACAAATATTTTCTTTTCTATCAAGTATATTTCGTGTTATGTACAGCCTGCCTTGTCGCATATACTATTAATAAATATATTTACGCAAAGATTAGAATGTTCGATTCGAAGGACCACGAAAGTGCTGGGGAGTGGGGGAAATCACTAACCAATTCTTCTCCCCTAATCCCCCCTAGTTACGCCAGTGGTGGCGCCAGTAACACTAAACCCTATACAACTGTAGCATGTACGTATTTACATTATGTACAAGTTATGTCACAATATTTTACAAGACGGCATCCATATTAATTAAAATGCCGCGCAAAAGTCTGAGACTTTGGTATAGTGCTTTCCGAAGTAATTGGTTTTGACCTGACCTAATGACTAAACCTAATAAGATAATAAATATAACCTCTTATAATAAGTTTTTGTTTTGTCAAATTTGAAGATACGGTGTTGTAGAAACAATTGTAAACAATATATATATATATATATATATATATATATATATATATATATATATATATATATATATATATATATATATATATATATATATATATATATATATATATATATATTTCACTTAAAACTCCGCACGCCAATAAGTCCAAAACGAAAACAAATATTTAATTTATGTAAAAAGTAATCAAAGTGTGGGGTCAAGTAGATATTTCCTAAAGTTTAAAAAATTCGACGCCTGCAAAGAGCTGGGCGTCGCGACGCGTCGAAAAATTATTCGATTGCAGAGACTTTGGAAATACGCGCATACAAAAGTACATATTATTTAAAAACTTTTTTGTTCTTTACTCAAACTTATTTACTTTACCCGTTTCTAAGTTATACCGATTTAAAGTAAACATTTCTTGATTAATAAAAAATGCGATTAACGCTTATTTTTACAAGTATGCCATGAATGTTAGTTACTATGGCAACCATTGTTATCGCAGTTGTTTTAAGTGCAATTACAAACGTAAGTTGTTATTGCTGTATCAAAAAATTGTCACATTGTCACAAGAAATATCCAAATTTGTTCGGTTTAAAAAAAACTAAGAATTATTATGTGAAAATGGCGCAATTTAGCAATGAGGAAAAAGTAGACATGTTACTGGTGTTTGGAGAATGCAGATGCAATTGTAGAGAAGCAAAAAGAGTTTACGCACGGCGTTATCCGCATAGAAGAGTCCCCGATGCAAAAACCTTTTCAAGTTTATGTAAAAGCTTAAGAGAATATGGCAGCTTCATAAAACCTAAAAGAGATAGGAACAGGACGGCTACAAATGATGAGAATACTGCTGCTGTAATTCAGCAGGTCGATAATAACCCCAAGATATCCCGATAAGAGATAAAAGAAAATACCGGTGTTACCATAAGTTCTTCGTGGAGAATTCTACATAGAAACTGGTTTCACCCGTACAAAAGTAAACTAGTTCATAAACTAGAACCAGGCGATTATGCTAGAAGAATGTATTTCTTAGCGACATTGTCCGATTTGTATAGCCAAGATGCAAATTTTCTCTCGAAAATTTTATGGAGCGACGAAAGTCGATTTCAAAATAATGAAATCGTTAATAGACACAACTGTCGTTTTTGGTTCGAAAACCATCTTCGTTGGATTACAGAAAGAGGTAACCAACGAATTTTTAGTATCAATGTTTGGTGCGGCATATTAAATGGATTCCTTATTGGACCTTACTCTTACGAAGGAACTTTAAATGCAGATCGCTATTTAATATTTCTTCAAACTACACTTCCGGAACTATTAGAAGAAATGCCTCTTGACACTAGAATGAATATGTGGCTACAGCAGGATGGAGCGCCCGCACATAACGCCCAAATAGTAACGAGGTATTTGAACCGAGAATATCCCAATAGATGGTTTGGTACTAATGGACCGGTAAGGTGGCCGGCGAGGTCCCCGGACATTACACCACCAGATTATTTTCTTTGGGGCTACCTAAAAAACGTTATCTATGAAGAACCTATCGAAGATATGGCTGATCTCATTAACAAAATTAGTGCAGCGTGTGCCGCTACCACAAGAAGGACTCTCCTACAAGTGACCCAAGCTCATCTGTTAAAAGTTTTTGATAGTTGTGTTCGAGCAGATGGACATATTTTTGAACAAAATTTTTGAAGTGTCTTATTATGTAGCTAATTGCAATAATAATTTTGGTTATTAACTTGTAGGTATTTTACTGTTTTTTCATTTATTTATCATGTTATCAGAACTAAATCGATAAAAAATAATAAATAAAATCATACTAAAATAGTTGAAATCTATTGTTTGTAATTGCACTTAAGACAACTGCGATAACAATGGTTGACATAGTAACTAACATTCATGGCATACTTGTAAAAATAAGTGTTAATCACATTTTTTATTAATCAAGAAATGTTTACCTTAAATCGGTATAACTTAGAAACGGGTAAAGTAAATAAGTTTGAGTAAATAACAAAAAAGTTTTTGAATAATATGTACTTTTGTATGCGCGTATTTCCAAAGTCTCTGCAATCGAATAATTTTTCGACGCGTCGCGACGCCCAGCTCTTTGCGGGCGTCGAATTTTTTAAACTTTAGGAAATATCTACTTGACCCCACACTTTGACTACTTTTTACATAAATTAAATATTTCTTTTCGTTTTGGACTTATTGGCGTGCGGAGTTTATATATATATATATATATATATATATATATATATATATATATATATATATATATATATATATATATATATATATATATATATATATATATATAATTCCACAGTCACAATATACGGTATGTAAAAAAAGACACCCGGTATAAGTCTGGACTAGAAAATCACGAAGATTCATTGACGTTAGGTCTTGCGTGTATATATTCCTTTTGCAAATAGAATAAAGCAGTCCAATATCTACTTGGAGGGCGTATTTTTCAACAAGTCACATAACCTCAAATATAACCTTGCGTCGTTTTTACCATTAAAATCAAAATAAAATTTTGGCCTGCTCTGTTTGAAATACCGAAGTTGACGTCGATACCCAGCAACTGGGAAAACTTGCATAATCCGAAAGTAGATAATCTAAAAAGTCGTAACAAATTTTCTCTGCCTTTGGTGCTTTTTAAAGATGGCTTATTATTTTGATCTGGTTTCTTTCTTTTTAATGACAGTAGTGGGGTTTCAGATATGGAGACAAGTTCGACCATACCATTTATCAATGTTCTGGATGCCTGGGTCGTTTGTTGCTGACGTTTCGCCAAATATTCTGTTGGCTTCTTCAGATGTTAAGAGAATTGTTTGTTTCGAACCTAAGGAACGGTGGCAAGTGCTTTCGGACTCATTATCTTTGGAAGGTTGTATAGATATCTCAATGTGGAAATTACTACAAAGAAGAGCAGAGGTCTATAAGCAACCAAACATCCGAAACAAGCAGGTATAGAGAATCCAGAAGATTTGCGAATAGTATTACGGTAGCCTGTTGAAGTTTGCTTGAAAAATTAAGTTCCGCCGTAACTTCTTTGTCCTGCTCCCGGTACAGGTTGTTTTATTTAACACGATAAGCCAAAACCATTTAGCCGTGAAAGCACTTCGCCCACTTAAAAGCGACATTAACGGAGTTCAGCCGTTATCACGAACTGTTATACGCGATTCAGCCCGATCCGGCTCGAAGGACCAACGCGACCGCGAGTTTTCACGACCCCATCCCGTGGTTGTGATTGGCCAGGTGAAAATAGGGGCCGTAGCCGGCGGCGTTGGTACCCGCCAGCGGATAAACGTTCCCGTAGGGCACGTGGTGCGAGTACAGCAACCCGGAATGCGTGTGGTGTCCGGGAAAACCCGGAAACGCCGTTCCGGAGCCGACGCTAGGAGGCGGTACCGTCGGGGAGTTGACGTCCATGCCGGGGTTTTGTTTTTTCCACTTGGTGCGTCGATTTTGGAACCAAATCTTCACCTGGGTCTCGGTCAGGCTCAGGCTGAGCGCTAGGTTGAGGCGCTCGCACACGCTAAGGTACCTGGTGGTCTTGAATTTGTTCTCAAGGGCGACGAGCTGCTCGTAGGTGAAGGCGGTCCGGGCTCGCCTCGGTTTGCCGCCATTTTGTGACTTGGAGTCGGAGCTTTTCTTCTTGCGGGACGCCGGATCTTTGAGGTCCTCGCTGATGTCGCTGCCGATTTCGTCGTCGTCGTCCGATTGGTGGTCTTTGCCTGCGGATGCAGAAAATTACGGTCTTCTAAACGAGATCAAACGAAATATAAAATGTAAGAAATGAAAATGGCAAATGTGACGGGATCCGCTTTAAACTAGTGTTTCTCACGTGGGACGTTTGAGACCTAAATCATATATACTACATTGCATAAAACATTCATTGGAAATACTATATTGATTATGCTTTATTTTTTGAAAATATTTACTGGTGCGTGAACGCACCACCGGTTTTATCTGGGAAACAAAACTTTGTTATTGCAAGTCTAGACAAGTCAGCGCGTGTAGAATAAATATTCAACAATTTTTTAGTAAGGGGTGTTTTTTTTCGATGTATAGAACTTTAAGTTGCAATAAAACAACGATGGATTATACGATTGACATGAATTTAAATATGATTTCTGGCATATGACCGCCACGGCTGTCGTATTAGTGGCCGTATATCGGCAATAACAGTTTTTGTGGATGTAACGGTGTCTCGACATACACTTGAGGATTAGCTAGAAGATATGAACGATAACATAAATCTACAAGAGTTTGGGGACCAACTGATATAGTTGGAACTTTCGAGTTACATACACCGAATATACCCTGGAATTTAAAAGAAGACGTATGCTTTCTGCAAACGAAAGCCTTGCTTCTACTGTCAAATGGAGGAAAGGTCAGATTAAGTACACTCACACACCTATATCCGATGAATTTAGATCGAGAAACTAAAAAATAGGCTTTCTGGAAAAACTCCAGTTGAAATATTTTTTATGTTCTTTGTGATTGATAAAACAATTATTCAAAGAAATCTTGCACCTGCCATAGATGTAGAATCTGCCACAGACATACAATTTACGTTTGTAATGAGTGTAATGTGTATTTACATACTTCATGCTTTGTAAAATATCACCAAAATGGAAAAGGGTGTTACCAGTGGCGCGCTCACCCAAATATCGTGCGTTTTTTTGTATCAAATCAGGTTCTATTTGGAAAACAATCTACTTTTAGTTGTTTTCTGTCGAATTTGAACTTTTTTATGTATATTTATATATAAACTATATGTTACATCTTATGTGCCCCTAAACATTAATTAATGTTTTTTTTCCCAGTGTTTTTTTGTATGTTTCGAGTTTTGACACATGGAATGTATTCTTAAGTGCAACAACATAAATAATTTCGGAGCAAAAACGTATTTTTTTATGCTTGGGATAATATGGGTTAAATACTTTTGCACTGTGCAAGTGGGTGCGAAAAGCGATCTGCTAGTGCGGCTGATCTAGTGAGAAAAGAACTCTGCCCACAGTTAGTACGATGGAACTCTACCTGGAACGCGAAGCCCAATCTTACATAGCAACTCTGGTCCATAATCAATCAATCGATCTGGGAGACGGAATACTCTGGAAGTCCACTGTACAACGCTTAATGAAGCCCAAAACCCGATGTTCTTTAGACACAATAGATGAAACATGGTGTGCATAAGTCAATTTAAAATCGAGTAGCACTCCAAGATCCCTTATTGCACGGGTGTGCAATAACGGTGAGACTTTTTGGCATTCATAAATAGTTAGTTCCATTCCATTAAAATCGCACTATAGCGATAGGTGATATAAATCCGATTAGAGTTTTATACAGTCATCAGCATAGACATCAAAGAGTAGGGGTCCCAGGTGTGATCCTTGCGGAACACCAGAAGGCACTCTACCATTTGATGATTTACTCCATCGAACGCCTTTGAAAAGTCTGTGTAAATGTGACTAAACTTTCGAGTTATCGCCGGATTTTAGAATAGGGGTGGGTGATGAAGCTTGATTTCCAGTAATCCCTACAGGAAAGCCCTCATCAGATATCATAACCGCTGATGAATTCAACACTTATTTTGCAAATATAGCTCAGCCTCTTGTAACTAAGGGTTGTTATTTGGATAAAATTGAACTATCATATCATTTCATTGATATCATATCATTTTACGCTTGCCTTAATGAAGGAAATCATGAACAGCGTACGCGAGAAGAATGAAATGTTACTGCCCCTCACAAAACTAAGTATACAAGCCAACAGACATTTAAAAAAAAAAACTCTAGTAATACCAGTATTTAAAAAAGGTAACCCTGATGTTGTTGAAAATTATGGCCCTATATCTCTACTTCCAATTGTTTCAAAAATTGTAGAGGAATGTATAGCTAAAGAAAAATCCGCACCTATTTACCACTTATAAGGAATTGCATGACCATCAAACCAGAGGTAATTTAATAATTAATAATAATTAGAGAAGAGTTATTATTTATTTACTAGGGATAAAATCCAGAATTATTAATGTTTTTTATTTTCTTTTAAAACTTTTTTCTTCTTTTTTTTTCGGTTCCGCAAAGATCTTCAAAAAAATGCATTCAAGGCCAGAACTAGGTATGGTTTTGAGTCGTCTAAGTAGTTTATAGTTTAGGTAACAGTATCCTGGAGAAGTATTCAGTATATATGGTCTTTTTTCCCTCTTGTCGAATGACAACTGTATTTGTTGTTTTCCTGAGATGTATCGATGTGTAACATTGTACAATGAAAATTTCCCTATAGCGAACTCTGTATTAGGTGTTGTACTATTAGGTCTCCATACAAAGCTATGTACTAATCCACTCTGTATAACGAATTTCTCACTTTCTATGAAGTGATGTGGGACGTCGATACGGACCTACACACAAAGAAAAAATCATTCAGGCTGAAGCGGCAGGCAGTTCTAGTAAAAAACTAAGAAAGCCAAAATTTGAAGACGGGATGCAGAATTAAAGGGGAGGAAAATATTATTTCTCTTAGATAAGTGCCCTGCACATCCCCCACATTCCAAATCTACGGAATATTGAATTCGCATTGTGTTGCAGCCGATGGACGAGAGTCGATACAGGAAAAACATTCTAATGGAAGACAAATTTTCCATCAAGATGCAGTCAGCAGAAACTATTCAACAGAATGTGAATAGGACTTGGAAGATGATCATCCACAAAGCAGTTTCAATCAACAATTACGTTTAGAAGTGAGGAGTTGCAAAATTTTATGGTGATAGATCAGGATTTGCCTACAGCAGCAGACTTGACAGAGGAAGCCATATTACAACAAGCAAGAATGGGTGAGGAAGAGCATCAAGAGGAAGAAGAAGACGAAGAAGTTGGATCACCACCAATCATTGAACAAGCCCTATAGTCAGTCAAGCTGCTGGAGAAATGTATCATGGGGAAGATTCTACTCTCTAAGAAATGGTGAAAATACAAGCCATTGGCATACTAAAAAAATTCAAAAGTAAATGGGCATATAAATGTGTATATAAAATAATTAAATATTACAGAAGACGAATGCGTATTGTTATTTTTCAAGTGCCTATTACAACGAAAAAAAAGCGGTCGCTATATAGAGTTTCGACTGTATTTGTATTTTATGACAATGAATGCTATATAATAACAATATTGCAGTTGCGGGAATATTGTTCCCGCGACGTGTCATAGAGCGTGACTGTTTTACCGCCACCGCCTAAAAGCATCCCATTTGTCTTTAGGGCGGCTTTACAAATTCGACGCTATAATTGACCCGACGTCGATAATTAAGTACCGATCCGGCGCCATATTATTTATTCTATATATATAAGCCGCCGCGAGGGGGTAAACAATATCTTGCGGGCGCTAAAGGGGGCGGGAACGTGGGCGGCGGCAAAGCGAGCGAGAGATCCGAGCGTTCATTAGCAGTCGGAAGAGATCTGCTTAAAGGAGGGGGGGGGGGGCACAACACGACCGGACGGATTAATTACAAAGTTCACGGCTTGCTAACGAGCCCGCGAGGCAATTATGTTAAGGCTGTTAATTACTTGTCCCGCTCGCTATCAAGCCCCCCCCCGCCCCGTACCCCTGACGGTTTCTCGTTCTGCACGGAGGATCGTCGTTACTCCCCCCACAACCTTCCTGTTTTTCGTCCGACGCGTTTTAAACTACTAGCGATTGAAATAGTCGAATATAATAATAATAATAAACTGTCTTTATTGAAAATCAAAATATTACAATATAAGAGTGGCGACATTCGCAATTTGCGCTCTTCCATGTAACCACAAGAACGACAGCACCAACACCATAATTGTCAACAAAATACACACACACATATACGAGGGCGGCGCCAAAATTTCCCGGCCCGAATATGAAAGAAATAAAGCAGAGCAACAATTATTTTTCGATATAATCCCCCTTAACTTCAATACACTTATTACACCGCGTTATTAACAACTCAATCCCTTTAAAAAATATTCTTTTGGTTTGTCTGTTGAACTAAAGCAGTAACTCAACTTCGTCGTTAAACCGCCGTCCACGTAAGTCCTTTTTCAAATATCCAAACAAATAATAGTCGCTGGGGGCCATATCTGGACTATAGGCAGGATGATCTATCTGTCGGAACGCACAGGCAGCAGTATGGACAGGTGCATTATCGTGCAAAACACGCACGCCTCTGGTCAGTTTTCCTCGACGTTTTGCACGTATGCAGTGTCGCAATTTATGTAATAATGTTGCGTAATATTTACCATTGACAGATTTTAAAGAAACTGAAACTGAAAGATGGTGGCCATCACCTTGTTTATTGACTGGCAGTCTCTGAATTGTCTTGATTGATTGATTGATTGATTCTTTTTTTAATAGAGAACCATAGTTTCATCTCCCGTCCAATAGTTTCTATCACAGGCTTCGGTTCCGACCCGCAGAGTTCCAAAAAAGACAGCGCGCACTCGACACGGCGTTGTTCGTGAATAGCCGAAAGGTTTTTAGGAACCCATCTTGCACTAACCTTATGCGATCATGCAGGATTCGACGAACACTTGTGGCAGAAAACTAAGTAATTTCTGAGATTTCCTTGACCTTTAAACGTCGATGACTCAATAGCATCTCTTCCACTATCGCAATCGCAATCGCAATCTTCCGTTATGACTTCCACTGGTAGATAAATAAAAATAAATAAATGGAAATAAGTGCATTGCATTTTTGCTGCAATTTAG